GCCGGTTCAGGCATATCCCCTGGGATCGCCACGACTTGAGGTGTTTTTTATGTAATTGTAACACTTTATATTTACAGTACCGCATCATTGTTCGCTATTGTTTGGAGTTGAATAGACCTCTAGAACATTTGGACTTAGTTTCTGAGGTTGCGCGCCACTCAACGCTGGCCTGGATAGTCATTTCGGTTTAACAGTTGCTTTTGATCTGATTCGACAGACATGTGTCATGCAGTCTATAATTTTTTCAGTTTCTTCCCTTTTGCAGTGAATGCAATGCCACGGTCGCTTAAACTTCGTCAATTAGGCTTACCCTGTAAGTTTGGTTGAGTTAATATTATGGGAATAAGCTGAAGTAACGTTACATGACACTATTGGAAGTCCGTAAATTTAACCACAAAGATTTGAAGAAAAAGAACAGACAAACTGCAACGAGACAAACAATTGTCAAGTGACATTAAAACCAAAGACAAAATAACGCAAAGGAAACATCAGGGTCACCAGTTGGGACTAAAACAAAGCTGAGTTTTGGTTAAATTTCGGTAGGTTCGTATGGATGCTGATTTGTTACATCACAGATTGTTAGAGAAGAAAATGGTCAGGAAAAGGGAATTGCGGATTGTAAGAATGTCTAAATCATGTGAAGTTGAACCATATGCGAGTTGGAGCTGGAAATACGAATACTATTCTGATTATGGAGGGTATGAGGTTATGACGGAAAAGGAAGCAAAGACTATACGTCTTGATTAGATTGAACGAAGTTGCACACAATCGTCAACGAGTTGGGAAGAGACACAATGTGTAGATCCAGAAGGGCGTCATTAGTGGGATGATGAAGACGAATGATATGGGGAGGGAAGAAAGTTTGGATGTGGTTAGATTGGTACTTTACAGTCAGAAGGAAACGTGTTGCGCGAGTTCTCCGTTGTACACACGAGGGCGTGTATTAATCAGAGTTACAAATTGTCACCTTAGCCCAGCTACGTGATCGTGAATGAGAGAAGACACTGAGTGTCGATAAAAGACCAAACGAGTCACACTGGTCTCGGTATTACGCTGAGGGAAATTAAATGGGCTTAGTTTGAAATAACGGACACGGTTAAAACACGACAACAGTGGTTAGACACAAACAACTTGTCTAGAATAAAAACAACAAAACTTCGAAAATGAGCCATTCATGGTGAATCAGAGGATTTCAATTTTCGCCATAAATGTGTCGACATGTAAAGAATTTTTTATATTTTACTGTCTCTTGATTACAAACGATCCGGGAAACGTGTTCCCGGCTGAAAACTGCACAGTTGTGGTCCCAAAGCGGTGTTGCGATTAAGACTTCCTGCGAAAAGAGTTGAGGGCATGATTAGAGTCGGTTGAGCAGAATGATTTGTGGGATGGGGAAACAAGAAACCAGGTGATTGAACCGTTCCGATATGATCACTAGTAAAGAGACCAGTCTCTGAAATGACTACCGGATCAGGTAAGTATTGTGCTTGTTGTGTACAGATAGGCCGAGCTGAGGACTGGTGCAAGTTCCGCTGAGACCAGCAGAAACTACCTGCACCGGTTGTACTCGGAAACAGCAGCAAACCTCGAGTATTGTTAGTATTATTGTTATTGCTATTGTTGTTGTTGTTGTTGTTGTTGTGAAAGTTTTGAATCGGTTTTTGAACAGTGGCCGTAGCGGCTGCGCAGGGTGGAAACGAAATTCCCTCGAATTGCGATTGGAAATCCATCAACGATCGCGCTGCAGTCTTCAAAGGTTTTACAGCGTTGACAGAAGTTGGTGTATGGGATGACTTGATAGAATTTGTATTCATGTAACGTGAATTTTGGCTACGGGCGATCAATTCAACCAAATAGTGAGCAGCCTGAGCATAGTTAGATGAACTATTAAATTCGAATAATTGTACACAAGACCAGAGCGCAGTGCGCATTCTTCTCAAACGATCAGTCAGTTCAGTCACAACTTGAAATATCGGGGACCAGTCGAAATGCGAAGGCTGAAGAATAGATGAATGTAGCTGCATTGAAAAATTCAATCACTGGGCGAATAATTTTTGAGAGAAGATACAGAAAATAAAAGAAAACCCCAATGCATCCCTTACATATACCATTATGTGAAACAGCTGTGTAAATAAATCACTGGCACGAGAAAAAACACGGTCCTAATGTGTGAAGAAGAATAAAGATAAGAATGGCTGGTGTGCAAATAACAACGATATGGAAAAAAGGAGTGCAGGGGGCAAAAATAGCAGGAGCAACAGGAGTGATTTCGTTATTTGTTCTACCATACAGATTTTGACATATCTTATGGTATTTTAGGTGACGTCGAATTTCAACAGACTGACCGTACAACATTCACGCCACTGATTTCTATTCTGAAAATCCTCATCCCTTGGGACCAAACCTGGAAGTTGGGCCGTACTTACCGAAACTCATGTTGAAGCAAATTGATAGCATAACACTAAGTCATGCATGCAAGCATGAAAACGGCACTATTTCAAAACCGTTAGTGAGTAATTCTGTAGTTCTTCAGGGTGCTGTGCTTTCTCCACACATTTTAAACTTTTATTGGTGATCAACCTTCTATTCCACCAGCCAATACTTGTAAATATGCTGATAATATGATCTTATGTCAAGCCATTTCAAACCAATCTGACATAGAATCATTTTGTAACAGCTTATCATAAGTGCATTCATTATCGAACCAATCTGATCTTCAGTTGAATGCTTCTAAATGCTTCGAATGCATTTTTGGTCTTTCCCCATCTGAATACCCTTTGGAATCCTCAGTTATCAATTCCGTACCCATCACCAGAACACACCACAAAATACCTAGGAGTCACCTCTCATATGCCAACCTGTGTTGGTAGACTGCATCGCTTATCTTTTCAAATACGCAAGCTACAGCAATCTAAAGTGAAGTATGAAACTATATTTTTTTTATTTGTCAGTGTACTTTTCCTGTCATACTTTATTATTCGTCCGTTATTTTTCTCGGACTACTTAAAAAGGATTTCATTAATCTTCGTCAGGGATTGGTAATTATCAGCCGTGTTGCTCTTATTCCTTTAAACGCTCTAATCACAAAATTGTGAGATTTTCATATTACTTCATCTGAGAATTTTGCCCATAAGATACTCAACAACCCCAGTTATCCACTCAATCCCAATATATCTGCTTGCTGTTCCTACAGTTTCAGTTTTTCGGTTTAAACAACCATTGAGCATGCATTTTTCTGCTACACGTTTGGTTGCTGTCTTATGGCTACCCATTTGGGTGAAAAAATAGCAGAAAAACAAGAGGGTTGAAAGCAGAATCGAAGAGAAAATTGAGAAATTCAGTGGACTAACGATGCAGAAAAATTGAGTAGATGCATGAGCACCACTGTTTGCGACACCCAGCCATATCGCTCAGTGTCTCTAACTACCGGTGACCACGATCTCTGGGTCCCCATCCAGGGAGCCTAACGGGACCTATGTGACCCACTCTCCTGGTTAGGGTTTTCATACCCTCATGCCAGGTCTTAGCTTGACCACCCTTGGCTTTCTTCCACTCTGTATCTTCTTCGGCGAACATCGCTCGCCGTGGTAACCTATTCGGTGACATGCTCAACCACAACCTGCTTCGGCGAACATCGCGCGCCTTGGCAACCTATTTGGTGACATGCGTAGCACATGCCCTAACCTATTCTATGGCGGTCGACCACTTGATCCAGTGGGCGACCGCGGTTGCCTACAACTTTGCGCCTGACCTCAGCATTGCTCGTCTGGCTGCCCCACCAGATTCGTGCAATGCTGCGTAGACAGCGGTGTTAAAACACTAACAGTCTATCTTTATCCTGTTTTCTTAATAGTCAAGTTTCTGCGCCATATAGGAGAACTAGCTAAACTGCCGCGGCATACACTCGGCCCTTCACAGAGAGAGATCCATTTGCTCTATTACTTCCCCAGTTAGTGTGAGGCTGGGTGCTGGACCAACCCAGTCTTGTAGTAACACCTTACACTTTGAAGGTGCCAAACGCCTACCGAATATCGCTACACTAGTACTCAAACTATCCAGAAAAGCTTGCAACTTACCTGAATTTTCACTTAGTAGCACAATGTCGTCTGAATATGCTGGATCAGACAGTCTTCCACCTGGAAGTAAATCGATGTTGCTATCCTCGCACGAGGATAGGGTTGGTTCAAGAATTAAATCTATAACAAAGTAAAATAGAAAAGGAGAGAGAGGGCAACCCTGACGAACACCACATTCAGCTTTCCTGCCTCCGATTTTGTATCCAAATGGGCAGCGAAAAGACAGCAACCAAAACCGGCGAACGAAAGTGCATGGGTAATGGTTGTACAAACCGAAACTGAACTCGGGTGGAAACATGCCGTAAGTCCCAACTCGACTTCGGCTATGAGTATAGAGGGATCTTAATATTGAAATAAACTTCTCGGGCACACCCTTCAGAGAAAGGCAACGCCGGAGTTTAGAGCAATCGACTGAGTTAAAAACTGCTTTCAGATCCAGGAAGACAGGGATGGTAGGTCTACGAAAAGAATTTCGGTGCTCCAGAGTTTGACGAAGAGTGGAGATGTGGTCGATACAACCTCGATCAGATTTAAATCCAGCTTGGTTCTCACGTGTGCACTCTTCCCGTGCAGCAGACAATTGAAGGAGTATGATCTCAGCGAGAAGTTTAGAGGCGATGTTTATTAAACTAATTTCTCTTTGGTTTTCACAAGAGAACCTGTCAGCTCCTTTGTAAATCGTTATGTTTACCGATTCACATCATTCAGTTGGAACCTCTTCNAGTTTAGGGGTAATATTGATTAAACTAACTCCTCTGTGGTTTTCACAGGAGGATCTATCGCCTTTCTTGTAAATCGGCATGATCACCGATTCACACCACTCAGTTGGAACCTCTTCCCTCTCCCACACTGAGACCAGGAGTTTTGTTAACTCCGAAACCAAGGCTGAACCTCCGTCCTTAAAAACGGATAGGCCGGAGGCCTTATTCCTTTTGAGGTAGCTTGTTTCCGGGAAACCTCCATTTCAGATGGAGGACTGGCATCAGCTGGCAGTATTTGCGCAGTCACGATGGAGGATGATAGTTCATATTTCGATGGGGGCCGGCTAAACTGAGCCTTGAAATGTTCAACCCATCGATCA